GCAACCTCGACGCAGCTGCCCGCTACGGAGGGAGTACAAACGACTCGCCGCGGTCACGCCTTCAAGTGTTGGAAAAGTCTCGGGGCCACAGCGAGGCGGCAGCAGCCATCAGAGGCGGAGGAGCATGAAGGCGTCTAGAGAGATTGGCTAAAACCCTGTTATAACGTATCGAAACCTACTTCACCGCAAAAACACCAGCTTTCAGTTCCCCGAGGGCCCAGCCACTATTCGAAGCTGGCACATACTCTCTTCCATAAATTTCTACACGTTGCGGTAACGTCCAATAAATAAAATCGTATAACTTTAATTTCGCCAAGATGGATCAATAAAATCAAACCTTGGGAGACGCCGTTCGATCCATGACAGCTGCCGTTAGGAAGGGATCCCTTGCTAATAAACTGGTGAGATTCGTGGAGTTTGTCCTAAAAACTCGATTTAGACCAAATATTCATTGAAAAATTGAATGCACAAATACAAGATGTAGCCGACGTGGCGAAATGTGGTCATTATTGCAGTATGCTGTTCAGGAAAGAGGTTCTGCAATCGTGTATACAGGGGGGGGGGGCAATAAAAAAAGACATTTTGTCTCCACTTCAGATGGATTTAATCACACTTTGCTCAATTCAGACCGAATGGTCCCAACTTAGATTGAAGAGCGCATTTCATTTATAAGAAAATCTTCATAGTGGCCACTACGTGGACGGCATCAGAAAATTTGCCCTGGAAACATGGTGCACTGGTCGAGCTCAATGGGGTCTTCGAAGGATCGTGTACCATAACGACCCTTACTGGAAAGCTAGTTCCGAGGGGATTTGCACAGTGGTAGCTAATGCCTCTAGAAAACTATCCAACATTAAATCGATTCACGAAATTGCGTAAGAGCTTCAGGCTGAAGCTCTTACGGTAGACCTCCTTGAGCCTGACGACGGTGTGACAGATGACGTCATATTCTGAAGACGGTGAGGGCAGTGAAGGAGGGCCTGCGTGTACTTATAGAGGGACATTTAAGGAATATTTTGCTTCGGAACTTCCGTCAACGACGGCAATCTCTGCGAAGAAAAAAAAAAGCCGAAGTGCGACATGGGCAAAAGTGTCTTTTTTGCCCCCCCCCACCATGTTAATGTATATTTGTAACCCATAAGCCAAACAAGGCATTTTTGAATATACAAAAGAACACTGCTAAATGACAGCCTTATTTCCGCTATCGTGTTTGAACTGAAATGAACTTAAAACGTTGGACGTCAAGATACAAGACAGCGATTCCCGTGTGACGAGTGTTTAATCTCAAAAAAACTGAGCACTGAAGTGTCAGGAAGGGATTCTATAGCATTCACATAGTTTCCAACTCCTTACACTGCAGTATATCTAAATAGGAAGTAAGCGCAAATGAAACTTGTGCAGCCGGCGTTTTCTCGTCTGCGTCCCATACCTCTTCGCTGCCTGCGGCGATGTCAGACTTTGCGAATCGCGCGATTCGCTACTAGCGATTCGCGCGATTCGCTAGCGTCCGCGGTCGCGTTGCGGTACCAGCCAATTGAGTGATTCACTGGCCGCGACGCGACCGCAGACGCTAGCGAATCGCGCGATTCGCAAAGTCTGACATCGGCCTTGCGACAAGGCTAGCATGTAGCCGGAAAGGTTACTGTTGAAAGATGGGAAACAAAGAAGGCTCCACTTGAAAATTCAATTATATAATAGAAGCAAAAAACATTTGAAGGTGACCCTCTGAAACCATCTCATTTCTGAAAACGTTCTCGATATGTTCTGATAAATATACCATGAAAATATTGGTAAGGGTGAAACGATGCCCCGGTAACGTAACTTGGCCGCAAGCAAGGGATGCGGGCTCAAGTCCCGCTTGTAGCGAAAATTTTGTTCATAACCCAGCATTTTGTGAAATGCCCTTGATATGATTTCATGGACCATTCCGTTTTCGTTCAAAATCGGAAATCCGAACGACCATATTATTGTGATTGGCTTTTTGGAAAAGATGAACGGCAGAGTACTAAAGTAGGAACTATTCTTGGACAGCGGAAATCGGAAAACGAAATCCTTATTTAGCCGCCCAATTCACTTTCGGGCCACGCTAGTTTTCCTCAGCGGCGACATTTCTCTAGTGGTATGCTTGGAAAATCTCCTACCATATCGTAATAACTTCGAGACAACGATTTCTTCTTTGACCAGCACGCCATCAACCACCATGAACACATCGCCTGTCCAATGATCGACAGTGATTGTATCGATGGCGGTACCGTTGGCGAAGGTGTACGGCGTAATCTGAACAAAGAAATAACAATTTCGCGAGTGCACGGCGTATACCTGCCGTTTAATTTGGAATGCGCCATGGCCTTGCCCTCATTTTTTTGCAAAAACTATAGAAGGGTTGGGAAAGGTAAACATATCGGTACCTACCGCCCACGTCTTCACGTCCATTGCCATGACCAGTGAGTTTTTCGACGACAACCACAGTACTCGAGACCCTTGTCGATCGTATGCAACACCGCTAACGTCCTCCAAAAGCTCGTCGAATGACTCTAAACATTGCACAGTAAGTCTCAGAATCAGCCAATCAGAACAGCCAGCCACGCCCACCAGTTGTGATTCGCTGGATTTTCGTGCCGTCACCGCGGCTTGTGAAAAACGCCGGAGGAGTATAGCCGACATCTTGCCACAGTAACGACCTTAACAAATGAGAATGGCCGATTCATTGAAGTTTTTGGCAGTGTCCAACTCACGCTGTCTCTCCCAAAAACACCAGGTATTTTGGTTTTCGCAACTCCTTACTGGTCGATGAATCGATAATCGATCGACGAGCGACGTCATTGGCAGCATAGATGGCCGAATGGGAATCGGTGAAACTGCTGTAGTATATTACGCCAGTCATTCGGTCAACAGTCAAACCATGGCACTCGGATAAATCTGAAGAAAACAGAATTTGAAATGCTAAGGGCTCATTCCGTCACTGAATAGGTGGGGAGGGGGTGTTATAACGGTCGATAATAGACCCAACTGTGCTAATTAGTCCACCAGGGAATGGATGCAAAATAAACATGATCTCCTGAAATCATGTAGCCCATAGTCCACATGGACTGGGTTTGAGCTCCGCCTAGAGAGGGAGCCCACTGCTAAGCCCCTTCATCGACAGTTGCGTGGGCGGGGCGGCGCAAACCCCGCCTACATGATCGGTGCGCAATGTCATTTCAAGGATTTTTAGCAGTATTTCCACCAATATTTCATCACTGGTGGGCCAATCTCAACAATTACTCCCATTTACGGGCGCAATAATCTACAACAAGTCAGTCGCGTAATGTGCCTTTAGAAAATGTCCCATAAATCGCGCATGTCGGCAAAACTACTGCCCGAAAATTCGCATGTAAGATCGTTGCCATATAGAGCACGCCAGCGAGGCCCTCGTGTCTCATTTATAGGACCATAACGTGAAGAACCCGTACCTCCTCCAAATACCGTACGCTTGTCCTCATTTCCGGTACCATATTGCCACAGAACATTGTCAAATCCGTCGTAGATGAAAATGCTTTCCTTGGCGGCCGTGATGGCAGTGATCTCTAAAAATCACACAACGATTACTTCCCGGAAAACAAACATATTTTGATGCGCCATGCATCCGCAGCCCAATCCATGTCCCAATGTGGAAACCAGTTGGATGGTAGACAAAACGCAATAGTATTATGCCAGTGTTAAAAGCTATGCTAACCCAGAAGAGCTTCTAGGCGCTCCTACAAAGTATTTTGACTGTAAGAAAGAGATAATGAAGTGAGATAATTTATAAAAGAGAATCTCATGGCGAAATTAAGCTAAACGGGCTTGCGAGCCTGATTTTGAGAGGCCGCAAAGACACATTTGAGCGCTGAAAAGAATGCTGTTGGCGTTTATGCGAGCCACTGACCTTCTCATTGGTGACTCTTTCAACGATGGAAGAAAAGGAGGCTGCGTTCACCAATGAGAAGACAGCGCTGCATTCGTCCTGACTCCACCCTAACGCAGTGTGAGCCACGTGATCCGTCTAGAAGGCCGCGCGTAATTTTTTCTGGAGAGCATCCGAAGTAACATACCTTGGAAACCAGACGCGGTGAATACAGTATCATTCGGTGAGGCGACATTTACACCAACAACAGAATTCTTCGTCGATAGCAAAACAGCGGATTTCACCTCTGAAATATAGCAATTCTAGAGATTACTGACAAGAACTTATTAAGCAAATTATTAATTTTATCGCTCTGAAACATCGGAGTCATATAGTGCAAGTGGTCGCTGTCACACAGCGGCGGTCACTGGATCAAATCTCTGATCGCCTCACGAGCAGCCCAACCAAGCTTCCATACCGGGAAGATGTATTAGCTAGAACTCGGCTGGATAAAAATAGTGACTATGAATTTATTTCCAATTAAACCAGCCCCGCAAGACATTGCACAGGCCAAGTCGAATTCGCAAACAAAGCAGTCACAAAATGTAGATAGATGCGTGGCGCACTTCCAAAAAACGCATTGAGCCGGATGATGCTTTTTGCCTGCATGGAATGTGAGGCCATACAAGAGTTGAGGGCTACATTGACCTTTTTTAATTACTCGCAAAAATTTTACCTAACAAACGAGCCTCTGTGGCAGCTTAGTCACTACGATTAGAGCGTGCGAGTCAGCCCGACACTAGATGGTTGGACATCCTTACATCGGGAGGCGGTCATATGGCGCACGATCCCATTGGCTGACAGAGCGCACAGGCCGCAATTGCCCCATCCTGCTGCGGTCGGACAACTCGTCCGTATCCCTCAACTACCTAGACTTCTGTAATTGATCGATCTGATAATTTGGTCCTCAGAAATCTCGCTGAGTCCCAAGATTAAAAAGGAAGCGGATAGCTTCGCTGGTCTGATGCAATGCAAGCGGAACGGAACAGAATGTGTTGCGCGGACGAGTTGTCCGGCCACAGCAGGATGTGGTAATTTACGGCCTGTGCGCTCCAATGCCAATGGTATCGCGCCACATGACCTGTACACCGTCCCTTGGTGTCGCTAAGGTATCGGTCACTACGTCCAACGTCGAGCTACCGAAGAAGCCGCGCAAAGGATTACTTGTGCACCAATTCGGTCAGCTCCGCCGTTCTGCATTCTCGGCAAATTCGCTATTCTCCAATCCCGCTGAGCGACGTCTATTATTCGTTTTGCGGATTATCCGATTCTGCCGTTCTCCGAGGCCGTAAATCGTGAACAACACAAAATGGCTGCCGTCTCCTTTCGCCTGTTCCACTTAATTCCGGCAAACGATGAAACATCGCCAGCTGCTGATAGCTGTGAAACCTAGTTCAAGTTAGGCAATATTACCTGCACACGTGCTCGTACTTCCATACAACAGCTGCATAAACTGCGGACATTTGCAGGAGAACTGGTCATGCCCATCCATGAGACAGAGATGAGAGCAGGAACTTTTGGCGCACGGATTTCGTATCGTTCTGGAAAAAAAGAGGTCATGAGACTGAAAAGATCGTATCGACTTGAGACCTGATCAATAATAAGTGACTGAAAGCAACAACCTTGATGAGGTCGTGTCGAAGAATCTATTCTGTGGGTGGGATAGAGTAGCCCGAGTATCACAGATGTGCCGTTGTCGCGGCTCGAAAGTGCGCGACAATGGCGCTAGGGCCTTACAAAGTGAGCTATGGCGGCTAATGTGAGCTAATGGACGAGATACCTCGCGCACACCCCATGACACGCAACGTGGATTACGACGTAGCGGCTAATTCAAATACGCGCGGGTTAGTGGAGCCATGGAGCAAGCAAGTTCAGACAACTCGTCCGGACGCGCCCCTTCCTCATTTCAAGTTCATTTTCAATAAGTCAGGCATTCACAATTTCATTATCAACCGCTATTACCGCAGCAATCTGACCTGGGGGTTTTGCTTCAATAATTAATCAAAAACTGTTAGTAGGATAAAATGGCTGACGA